CTGGCTTTTCAGGCTACCTATAGGACTAGATAATGATCTGGAGAGTGAATTAGGAAAGCTGGGAAGAACGGCTGGTGGGGAGGGCATAGGAATAGCCAGGGAGACAGGGCATGAGGGTATTTCAAGAAAAAGAGAGTCCTTTATGGCACCCCGGGACTGTGATTAGAATCAGGCTTGCTTTGGCCTTCAAATATGGCAAGATGGAGGCTGAGGGCGAGCTTCACAAAGGGACAGTCCAAAGGCTGTTAGGGTCACACGTGAAACTAGGGTAAACCGAGGAGACAAGAGCAAGACAGTACAGAGTAACCCCAGGAACTGCCTTGAGTTTACTGGAGCCTAGCAGAGGTAGGTGGGGCGCAGTGGCAGAGTGCCCAGCATGTGAACTGTCCTGGGTTCCATCCTCTGCACCGGAAAAAAAAAAAAGTTGCTTTCTAAAACATTATCCATGTATGTACCGGTGTGTGTGTGTGTGTGTGTGTGTCTGTCTGTCTGTCTCTGTGTTCAACAAAAATGAGGCTTCACCTGGGAAAAGATATGGGAGTCAAAGGAAGGTAGACTTTATTATTTATTTTTTTAAATGTTTTATTTATTTTTTTGAGACAGGGTTTTTCTGTGTAACCCTGGCTGTTCTGGAACTCACTCTGTAGACCAGGCTGACATCAAACTCACAGAAATCCCACCTGCCTCTGCCTCCCAAGTGCTGGGATTAAAGGCGGGCACCACTGCTGCCTTGGCTGGTTTATTTATTTTTATTAAATGTGTGTGAATGTTTTGCCTGCATGTATGAATGTGCCTGGTGTCTGCAGAGGTCAGAGTGAAGGGTTGGATTCTCTGGAACTGGAGTTACATACAGTTATTAGCCCCAGTGTGGGTGCTGGGAATCAAACCAGGGTCCTCTGCCAGTCAACTACTCTTGACTGGGAAGCCATCTCTCCAGCACCTGGGAGATAGTTTTGAAAAGCTGGGAAACTTGAAGGCGTGGTTTTCCATTAGGGGCAATGACCTTGGAGTGAAGGAGAGGCTGGTGACTGAGTGCATGGGGGTATCTGCAGACACAAAGTCGAGGGAGCAGCAGAAACAGAAGGATCCGGGACGTAGACGGGGAGCCGCCTCTGACGGGACCAGAGACTTCATCTTTCATGACCGCAAGGACGTGCCAAGTGGAGATCTCTCAAGAGATGGCTGGATTCTGTGGTAGGGGGTGAGACTTGTTGTATGAGACAGTCTCATGGAGGGTGGGGGAGACTTGAAGAGGGGATGGTGATAGACAAGGGAGGGATTAGTCTTTGGGGAAGGGAAGAGCAATACTCTGAGGAGGTGTGGAAGGCTCTCCAGGGAGGGGTCGGTGCTTTTTAAGATCTAAAATGTTAATCCCGCTGAATGAGAATAAAGACCTTTATCCAAATTCTTTGGTCAAAGTAAGCAAGCTTTAATTTTCTGTCAGAGAGGGCTGTCTCCCTAAAGTAGGACTTGAGAAAATAACATCAAACACAGGAGAGGGTAGGGTTTATATAGTTCCCCCACCCCCACACTGCAAGACTAGGGGGTTTTTCGAGGGTTGGGGAATTTCCAGAAGAATTTTGGTTAGGTAGGGACATTTCAAAATTATTTAGCAGAACATCTTACCAGGGTGGAGGTCAGGGTGGAGGGCGTGAAACATGTCAAATTCCAGAAAATGGATCGAGACCTTGCCAAATTCAAATTTTACAGAAAACAATATAAAAGATGAACTTATTTGACCTTGAAACAAGATGGCTTTTAATCTTAATATGGAGTTAGGCTGGTCCCTCACTCCCCCCTTGTCTTGTGTGTCCTTTTCAAATCCTTGATAGGGAACTCTCATTTTTTTTTTTTTTAACTTTTATTTTCTGTGCATTGGTGTTTTGCCTGCACGTGTGTCTGTGTGAAGCTGTTGGACCCCCTGGAACTGGAGCCACAGACAGTTTTAAGCTGCCACGCATGTGATGGGAGTTGAACCTGGGTCCTTTGGAAGAACATCCAGTGCTCTTACCCGCTAGTTAAGCCATTGCTTTGTCATTTCTATATGGTGTATGGGCTGAAAATGCCAGCAGGGGTAAATATTTTAGCACTTTTTATTTGGTGAGGGACCAATTTGTATCATGGCTGCGGTCTCTCTAATTATGTCTGATTGGTTAGCTAGAAAGTATAAATTTTTCTTAAAGTCATTCTCTTTGTTCTGCATAGAGCAGGTTGAGTGTCCTATCATATTGTAGAACTATTTCGGCTAATGAGTTTACCTGTTGACAGATCTTGTCCTATTTGGTTTTAACACATACATTTTTGACAGTAAGGGAGCCTGGCATGCAAATAGGCATTATATGTAGCCATTTTGTCCCTTTGCTACGAAGTCTCCTTTGGATCTAACATTTTAGTCTTTGTTGAGTATAGGGGGCAATGTATTCTCTTCTGTAACTGGTTCTCAGCAGAATTAGGATATTCAGGGCCCAGGAAGTGGGAACCTTAGTTAAAGGCCAGGAGGGGACTCAGGCCATGGGGCATTCGTCAGAAGCATCTGGTTTCTGACCCAGCTGAAGAGATCAGGATCAATTATGTCAGCCGGACAAGTTCATATCAGCTTTCAGCAAGTCCAGGGCTCTCTGATTTTGTAGGACTACCTGGGTCTGGCAATGGCGTAGATCGTCTTTGAAACAAATTTCAGTCTGTTGATTCCTGGATGGTGTTTCAGCCAGGTGGAAATCTGCTGGGACAGATAGAGACTAGGAACAGAAATCAAAGTTAACAAACTTAAAGGGAAATCATATTTGGAGCTTCCCCCTCAGGAATAGGCAATAGTCAGGGATGCTTAGGTTGCTGATTGACATTACAGGAGTCCTCATCTGGAGTCCATTTGACCTGTAACAGGTGGATTCAAGTTGTGATTCCATGATGTTTATTCCATTAAGTTTACAAAAAAGATAAAAGTTTTAGAGATATGAACATTACCATTGTTTGTAATCTGCATTGAAATCCATATTGGAGGAAGAGCAGCTGACAGGGATCTGTCAGACAGCTGGACAGCTGGAGTAGATGTGTGCCTTTGATCATAGCAAAAGCTATGGCTTTGGGTTAAAAAGCATGAACATCCTTTTTTTTTTTTTTCCAGAGGGCTGGATACAGATTGAACAGATGTGTATTTAGCATGATGAGAAGCATCTTCAAGTCTGTATTTAGAAGACAACCAAAGGAAATTTACCATTTTGAGCTTGTGACTGATAACAGTAGTCAATGCTTTACTAGCTTACCAGAACTTCATTGATCAGTGTTAAAACTCTGAACTTTTACAATCTTAGTATAACAATAGAATAGAGGGGGAAAGAAATCTGAAACATTTCTTATTTTTAAAAAATATTCATCTATTGATTTTATATTCCATCCATAGCCTCCCCCCACCTCCTCCCCTCCCAGTCCCTCTCCCCCATTCCCTCCTCCCACCCCCAATGCCCTCCTCTTCCATCTCCATCCAGGAAAGGGCAGGTCTCCTATGAGGATCAATAAAACCTGGCATACCAAGTTGCAGCAACACTAAGCACCTCCCCATGTACTAAGGCTGAGCAAGGCAACACAGTATGAGGAGTAGGGTCCCCCAAACCAGTAAGAGAGCTGGGAGATACCTCCTGTTCCTACTGTCAGGAGTCCCATAAGAGGACCAAGCTATACAACTCTAACATGTATGCAGAGTGCCTACGTCAGTCCCGTGCAGGCTCCCTGGTTATTGATTCAGTCTCTGTGAGCCCCTATGAGCCCAGGTTAGTAAGCATTTCTTATTTTAAAAAAAATATCTTAAATAATTTCCTTCGTCCTTTATAACTTGCATTTATATTTTTAGACCTTCATAACTTATTTAAACTTTTATATCCTCAGATCTTTATAACTTGTATTGACCTTAGAACATTTTTTTAGACCCTCAGAACTTACATGAATTCAAAAACTTTTTATCTACTCATTTACCCTGAGACACAGGTGGTAGATTACTAAAAGCAGTCATTGCAAAGCAAGCTCCTTTAAACAGTAAAAGTGTCCACAGTTTGTGCCGGGCCCTGGAACAAGCGAGGTATGTGGCAGTTTCTTCCAGTGGTTAGCGTCGCCACGATCCAAATCTGCGCCCCATCTGTCTTCTTTGGAGACCTTAGGGTCACCTCTAAGAGTGGGAATTTTTGTCTATCATAGGAAGCTTTTTCCATTAACCTTCTCCCCCTCACAAGACAGGGGCTTCTCTGTGTAGCCCTGGCTGTCCTGGAACTCGCTCTATAGACCGAGTTGGCCTCAAATTCACAGATTAAAGGTGTATGCCACCACCACCTGGCCCCGTTAATCTTTTTTTTTTTTTTTTAAGATTTATTCATTTATTATGCATACAGCCTTCTGTCTGCATGTACGTCTGCAGGTCAGAAGAGGGCGCCAGATCTCATTACAGATGGTTGTGAGCCACCATGTGGTTGCTGGGACTTGAACTCAGGACCTCTGGATAGCTCTTAACCACTGAGCCATCTCTCCAGCCCCTCATTAAACATTTTATTCTTTTATTTTTTTTTAAAGAATCAATATTTTTTTTAAAAATTTATTTTTATTTTACAAGCATTGATGTTTGGCCTACATGTATGTCTGTGTGAGGGTGTTGGACACATTGAAACTGGAGTTAGAGGCAGTTGTAAGCTGCCATGTGGGTACTGGGAATTGAACCCAGGTCCTCTGGAAGAGCAGCCAATGTTCTTAACCACTGAACCATCTTTCCAGGCCCTCATTAAACATTTTAAATACCACATTCGGCAGATCTCTGAAGTCTTGAGAGCCATCTATTAAGTATACCTGATTTTAAATAAACTTTACTCCGTTTTAGTTACTTGTTTGAGGCTTAATCTTGAAAACATATTCAGAAGGTTAAATAAAGCTTACCCCTGTAAATGAATTACATTTGTACTTAGCATGACTATAAGTATAATTAGAGCACATTAGAGAATTTGGTCATTTATAAGGTGACTGACTATATTAACTTGCCTGTCTTAATTCTTTCTATAACAAGTTATTAGCTTTTATAAGATTATAGGATTCAAACTTTGTGCGAAATTGATTAGTATTTTCAACACTAGCCCTTAGAAATGTTGAACGTGCAGTGGGAATCTTAGCTGAGGTGTGGCAGGCCCAGCAGAATTTAACAGGAGACACAGCAGCCATGGACGTCCCACCTGTATCCATCAGGAAGAGCCAGTCCTTAGCTTTTGCGTCGTTTGCTACCGGTCACCAGCACCTGCATATCAAAGCGTCTGGGCTTCCATCCTGTCATGTTGTGTGTGCTCAGCGCCAGCAACAGGCTCTGCACATTGCCAAAGTCAGTGTCTTCGCTTCAAGGCAAGACAGACTTTCAGAGGCCGTCTTTGCCCCCGAGGTCCCCATGGGGCCAGCACTCCTTTCCCCTCTCAGCTTCTTTTCTTTCTTTTCTTTTCTTTTTCTTTATCCACCATCTTCCTACTGTTGTGCTCTGGATCCCTTTTGGCCATTTTCACTTAGACCCTTAGCTGGGGAGTCTGCTTCCATGAGGACCTTTGGAGATTTTCATTTGGCTCTTCAGGTGGTGAAAATCATATGCATAGTTGTAGATATCTAAGGCTACCTAGAATCCATTCCATGTAACGCTCCAGCAATGTCTGGCAGCAACAGTCCTCTTTTTTTAAGTGTGTGTAAAAATAACAAAGAGGAAGTAACTCATGAGTTAGAGGAAGTCGCTTTCTAGGCACAGTAACAGACTTCAGTCGGGACTGCGTGCTTTACCAAAAAGCAAATACCAGAACTATCTTAAGTTTTTGTGCTTATAGTTGTGGCTCTTATTCATTAACTTTTTTAAATCTTTTATCTGGAATAATATAGATATGTGCCAAAACCCTGGCTGGATCCTATATCATGATGTTAAATCTCTGTTGGTCCTTCCAAGTTATATTTTAATCAGAAGACCCAACTAAGGATGCGGTTCCCGCTAGTGACTGTCAGGTGGGCATCCAAATCTGGGCAGAGAGGCAAGTGGCCCTAAGCCAGGAGGGGGCCTGGGCTGATTTTTTCCTGTGAGACAGTTTCTTTTTCCTACTCTCTTATTTGGTTTTGCTTTTGCCAGCAATTTTGTGTTGACTTTTAGAAAATGGGTTATTTTTAGGCTTACTCCCCCCGTTAAAGTGTAAACCAGA